TTCAGAAAGAGTGTGGCTCAAAACCTGGAGAAAATGGAGCTGCATATGAGTGTGTGGCTCCCCTTCCTGGTTGGCCCTGTGGGGTGAGATTCAGACTTCGGAAGTGCTCTTTTGGGCATTTTAAAGCATCCAGTCAGCATCCACTTATTTGCAATTGCATTCTTCCAGGCAGCAAATATCCTCCCTCCCTGTTTCTGGGTGTCAGGATACTTGAAGCAAGTCACAGATTTCAAAGGTGTGTTCTCGGGCGACTTTTCGCATAGGTTGTTCATAGTTTCTTCCTCATTGATGCCACTGTTTTGATGGCTTTCTTTAAGTGTGTCCCACTAAAGGTCAGCTTAACAGACTAGGCTTGTGATCAGATTAGGCTCAGATTTGCAGAACTGAGTGGATGAGGATCAGGGACTCATAGCGGTAAAGTGGTGAACACAGTCCCCTAGCTTATATGGGGCAGGATAAAGTGGAATCCAAGCCTTCAAACTCACAATGAGTGGACTGCTCCTGAACACCATGGATTTTTTTTTAACAGCTTTGTCACCCCTACATCACTGAAGAGGTTTTGAGTAGAATTAGGCGTCCAAGCCCAGTCCCCACCAACATATGCAGGTGTTTGATGGGTTCTTGGATGGGTGGAGAGATGGAAGCTTGTCTGAAGAAAGAATTCTCTGTATGAGTCAGGTTTTTTTTTTGTTGAATCTTTGCTTCCTAACACCTGAATCCTGCCACTTCAGTCCCTCTGGGTTGTAGGTTAACTTTGATGGTATGAGTCTCAGCAGTCTTGGGCGTTCTGGTATGGCGAGCCTGGCTCCAGTTTACTGTTAGGCAGCAGTGGGATGGCTCAGCGGTCAAGATCAGGCTTCTAAGCAGATGGGAACAGATGTGATGTCTCAGAGCATCTGAGCAAAGCACAGGCTCCCCCACCATCTGAAATTAAAAATTAACATTATTAAGAGCCATGGCGTCCTTTCCGGCTAACAAAGTACTTTTCATGTGCGTTTGCTTATTTCATCACTTCATTAATCCTCCTGATACTCCTTCACATGACAGAAGCTGCACGATCTCCTGCTTTCTTAATCTGGCTCTGACTTTTTTCCTTGTGAGTTTAGAAAGTAAACAGCAGAGACTGTGTTTTTAGACATTTCATTATAGCTGTTGTAATAGGCAAAATTTCTCAAGGCATTACCTAAGGACCGGCTCCCCAAAAGGGCCTTTATCTCACCCGCATGGTCTACAGATAAAAAGTCTGAGAAATCTTGGTGCAAGGGCTGATGAGCAGCTGCAAGTCTAGAGAAGTGAGCTCCCTGCCCCTCCTGACGTTCATTCGGGACTCCTGACCGTCTCTGAACTCTTTCACTTCTCTCTGGCACGCATTCTTGCATGGCTAACTCCTTCTTATTCTTTAGGACTCATCTGTAATGGGACTTAACAGATGTCACTGTCTCCGAGGAGACCTCACTGAGAATCCTACTGTGAGTGTGCTGTCTCCCCTCAGGGCAGCACCATAACTTTGCCCCCCATCAAGACACTCTGCACGCCAACAACACACGCCATGCTCCTTGGAGGCAGGGACCATTCTGTGTTCACCTTGGATTTCTTAATATCTAGCTCAGTGCCTGACACACATTATCAGGTACTCAGTTAATAATTAAATGAAAGCAATATAATATTAAAAATTTGCAACGTAAGTGGCAGAATGAGAACAAGACGTTCTTCAAGTAGGAAAATCAGGAAAAAAGTTCTATGTTGATGAAAAAAAAATGTAAGAAAGGAAAAAGAAGAAAACATGTAAGGTATCTTGTTATTTCTAAAAGAGTAATCAGGATACATAGGATTTTTGGAACTCTAAGGACCCCTGAGAGAACAAATGCCAGCAAAGACGCAACTGCTGAGAAGGAGGGTGACAAGGTGTGGTCGGAACTCCCGCGCTGGGACACAGAAGTGAGTGCTAGGTCTGGTTTTACCACTCTCACTCCCCGCGTGGGTGGCCTGGGAGACTCACTTCATCGCTGTTGGCCTCCCTTTCCTCATCTGTAAAATGAAGAGGTGGGGCCAGACTAGATCCATTCCAAGATCTTGTCCCACTTTAAAGGTTTGTGACTTTAGGACATACTGCAAATTAAAAAAAAAGGCAACTTTACAATTAAATTCTTACAACTCTTTGTTGCTTGTGTGTTGCATTTGTATTACTACCTAAACTTCCATCTTACGTTTCCCTGGTTAAAATAAAAGTGCCTCTTAAACCTTTAAGTGACTAAAAGATGTAGAGGTTTCTACATTGGAGCTGTAAATAAAATTCTCTTTATTTATTATTTTCATTAGAAGGTTTTTATGAAAATGAAGGACGTTATTTCTGTAACAATGTGATAATCAAATGAAAAAAGATCTGCAGAGATTTTAGCACTGAACACGTCATTAGACATGTAAATTTACTATTTAAGAATTGCTAATCTCTATTTTTGAACCTGTGATTTTTATAGCATTTGCTCATGCAAAATGGTCTGTGCAGTGCTAAATTTTCCTGGGAATGTAGTGCTAAAGTTGCTGAGATTTGTTTAAATGCTTTGTGTTGCCGCACAGCAAGGTGGCAATTGCCCGTGGCCAAAATCATCCCTTGAACTGCCTCAAACCAGATCAGCTTGACAGTGTTTTTAGGTCACTTGGGACAAATCACCACCAAGCAACAGATCAGATTTACTATACAGTATTTGATTGATTACTTAGCTGGTGATCATTTGCTGCTATGGACACCTCAGATGTCAGGTGTGCCTTTGATTTACATTTTCCAACAGGGACTGAATCTAAGCCTTGAATTGCAACACAGTGTTCATCATATTGTGTAAAAGCCACCATGACCTTGTACTCACGTGGAGCCATTAGGTGAAATGAATCTCAAAATGTTATAATGAATGAATAAATAATACCTCAGTGGAATGAAATGGCATTTCCTTACCCTTTGATCAACCTCTTGGATCCACTTTTAAGTGTTTGCAGTCAACTCCCTCAGCAGATAACTTCAAGGCCTTAAAGACACAAAGGAAATCAGACTTTAAATTTTGTTATGAACTATGCAAAATTATTCTAATTTCTCCTCTTGGGTGGTTGGAAATACATGCTGAGAAGAACTACTGGTGTTTGTTAAAGCACAGTTGGTATGTTTTCATATTATTATTAGTGTGGGTAGGCCTTGAGTTGTTGAAGTTTTGAGAAGTTCATGGGGATTTGGGTTTAGGCTTCTCTATTTGTTGAAGAAATAGCTCATTTAGGCTTTTCTATTTGGTGGAGAAATAGCTGGTGTCGAATTTTAGTCATAGATGAACTCAGCATTATCAGTGTTAAATTTGCAGCTGGAGATAAGCCAGATTTCTTGTTCTGAAAGTCTTGTCCTGAAAGCCTGTTTGGGATTCCCCAAACCTTTAGAGACAGTTCTTTTAATTTCCCCGTGGTGGACATAGTGGTCGAAACGCCCCACACTTCCATTCCTGTCTCCTTGCCCTCTGCTCACCTCGTGCTGGTCTGCTTCCAAGGAAGCAGACACGTCATCTGGCCTCTGGAAAACACTGTGTATTTGTGAGAGATTGAGAGTGAAAGGCAAATAGTGTCTAAGTATTATCATGAAGCGTTTTGACCTCATGGACCCACTGGAAGGGTCTTAGGGACCACCAGGGGTCTATGGACACCACCTGGAGAAGCTGTGCATCAGAATGCAGGTTCTCAGACAGGAGCAGAGGCTCACTGCTGCTGTGGCCACTTTACCAGGCTCCATATTTTTAGCTGAAGCTGCCCTCTCTCTCTTTTTCCTTTACCTCCCATGTTCCTTGTTCTGCTGCTCACATGGCACAGGAAGCCCTGACTCCACTCACTTGTCTACGTATCTTCCCAAAGAGATGGGAAACTCAGAGAAGTGGGCAGGGCAGAGAACTCAGGTGATTCTTACAACACGTTGTGTAGTATCTTCCACATAGTAGGTCATGTACTAACCACAGAAACAATAGCAGAGCCTCCTTCCTTGTTTATTAAACACTGCTGGGTGCCGGGTGCCCTACGAAGGCATTACTTATTGTATTAGTCTCCTAGGGCTGTTGTAGTAAAGAACCACAAATTGGGTGGCTTAAAACAGTAGAAATTTATCCTCCCACAATTCTGGAGGCCAGAAGTCTGAAATCAAGGTGCTGGCAGAGCTGGGCTCTCCCTGCAAGCTCTAGGGGAGAATCTGTTCCATGCCTTTCTCTTGCTTCTAGTGTTGCCCATGATCCTTGGTGTCCTTGGCTCGTGAAAGCATCACTCCAATAATCTCTGCCTCTGTGGTCACATGGCCTTCTCCCTGCGTGTTTTCACATCATCTTCCCTCTGTGTATGTCCGTCTTTGTGTCTTTTATAAGGACACCAATCGTATCAGATTAGGACCACGCTGAAGACCTCAATTTGATTAAATCTGCATAGACCCTATTTCCAAATAAGGTCACATTCATAGGTACCCAAGGGTGGGACTTCGACATATCTTTTGAGGAGAGGACACAGTGCGGCCCATAACACTTACTAAATGTTAACTTTAACCACTCAAAACTGCTGTGATTTGACTATTTTTGATCTACAAAAAATTCAATTTTGTATAGTTGAACCTAAATCCTAACTAAAACAATATGGATAAATAAAACCCTCGGATTTTGATCAGTGCTGTCAATTGTTCTGACCGCATGCAGAGGAAGAGGCATGACCACTGGGCTCCCAAAAATAGCCATTGTAGCCAAGTGAACCCGAATTTGGAGATTCTGGGCAGAGCTGTACACACAGAGGACCTCGCATGCTGGACATTCAGACCTTAGGACATTCGCTCAGATGTTTTTTCCACCACTGGCTTTAAAATTACTGAAAATTCCTTCCTCTTTTCTACCCAAGACCATTACTTTGTTTGACTACAATTTTTATTGCCTTGGCAGAGTGCAGTTGAGAACACGTTAAAGATGCTTTAGAAATAACCTCACCCTTGTTCTTTGTTCCAGGCCCACAATGGACGCCCTGCAACTGGCAAATTCAGCATTTGCAGTTGACCTGTTCAAACAACTGTGTGAAAAGGAGCCAGCGGGCAATGTCCTCTTCTCTCCAATCTGTCTCTCCACGTCTCTGTCACTTGCCCAAGTAGGTGCCAAAGGTGACACAGCGAACGAAATTGGTCAGGTAAGACCCACACACCTGGTTTCTGCTTTGAGTGGGAGCAGACTTATTAGAACACGTAGGCAGCGCCCAGGGAGAAAGGAAGGAGGCTCTGCAGTCAGAACTGCTCAGGATGGCGCATTTCTCTCACTCACTTCATCTGGCTTTAAATGTGAAGGCTCCTTATCTGTCCTGCAGCCCATAGTGCCTGTTTAGAACAGACACTATGTTGTGCTAGAAAACCTGGGGATCCACTAGGTGATCACACGTTCTCCACTAACAGGTAGTCTTTGGCAAGTCGCCCGACATCTTTCTGCCTGTTTAGTTGTTAAGCATCCATCAAGATGTTGTTTATCAGATGTTCTCCTGCAAACACCCCGACCAGCAACAGTGTAACTCTGTAGCCCTCTCTGATGCACAGAAGTCACTTGCGGCATCATGCTTTCTAGCAAGATGCAGGCTCAGCTGCATTCTAGTCTATAATGTGTTCTACCCTGTTCTAGATCCCTGTGGGATAGATGAAATATATCCATGCTGATTTCAATATAGAAATAACGTTTAAAATGATCTGCCTTTAAGTAACATGGATGAATAAGATGGGCTGTGCTTATTTTGACAATACTCCCTGGGGCTTGAGAGTGCCATCTGAGAAGAATGGACTAAGACGATGTTTTACACACACACACACATGCTTATAGGTGTATGTATATACATGTGTACACATATAAATAAAAATTTTAAGAGTTTCTTTTTGGCTATGTTTGACTCTCTTTGTAAAATTCTTAGACCCTCAGATGAGATGATTTTCCAGGTTGTTAACATTTTAAGTCCTTATTTACTTTTATTTTATGATTCTTAAAAATTGAGGTATAATTGACATATAACATATTAGTTTCAGGTATACCATATAATGATCAATATTTGTATATATCACAAAATGACCATCACATCAAATCTAGTTAATAGCCGTCACCATACAGAGTTAGAAATTTTTTTTCTTTTTTTTCCCACTAAATCATGTTTTATTTGGTTTGTTTCATATTTGGGCTTTCTTTTTCTTTTCTTTTCTTTTTTTTAAAATTTTTTCTTTTATTGAGTTACAGTCATTTTACAATGTTGTGTCAAAAATTTTTTTCTTGTGTTGAGAACTTTTAAGATCTACTCTCTTAGCAACTTGCAAACATGTAATACAGTATTCTTAAGTATAGTCCCCATGCTGTGCATTACATACTCATGACTTATTTTATAAATGGAAGTTTGCACCTTCAGAACCCCTTTACCCATTTCACCCCCATCCCCAACCAGTTACCTTTAGATAGTAAGTGGAAGCCCGTCAATTCCATTCCATTATTATTCTTTGATCATTCTAGTTCAAGAGATACTTTCTTGCTGTGAGGTCATAAGCATTTAAAAAGGGGGTTCTTCTTATACCCATAAATCCCCCAAAAGTGTGGCCCACAGAATGTAACTTGGGTCAAGTTGAAGAATTTACACTCGCAGTTGACTGGGACTTGACAAGGAAACTTCCTTTGTGGGAAGAGGAGCTGTATCTTCTCATCTGTCCTCCTCTTTCAACTCCCAATCCTTATGCCATCTCTCATTCCTCATTTCTCATCTCCCATTAGAGAGGGGACAGAAAGGCGACTTCCTGGCAGGGAGTCTGTTCCTCAGTAATAATAACGAAGGTCTTTTCAGGACATGCAGTTGTTCGCCTGCGGTAGTTACTTGGGTCCTTTAATTTTCTGGTCCTTTTGCCTGTCATTAGGCATGAGAGTTAGGCACGGCCTCAGACCAGCCCGTTTGTCCCTTCGATACTGAGGCTGTGTGACTCATCCGTACATTGTGTCCGTTTAGTGATGTTACCTGAGGTGTGGCATCAGCACATGGTTATTATGAGTGAGGAATGAGGAGAGAATCACCTTATCCTGTCAACACGTTTTGGGCTCGATGAAACAGAGTGGACTCTGGGCTATTGATTGGCACAATGGAAAAGTTACGAACAAAATAAAAGGATTTAAGCCCCCTAGGAGATAACATCCTAGTTTTGCGTGGCTTAGAACATTACTATAAGAATAATTACTAACGTTTTGAATCCATATGATATTTTAGGTGTGCTGCACAGAATGTCTGTATGCCTCATAGCAACTCAGAAGAGTAGGTATCCTCAGTCCATTTTACAGAGGGGAAGGTGAGGTTCTGAACTGTTGAGCAGGATTGCATTTCTAGTAGGTACAGGCTGGGATGCAAAGGCAGGCTATCTGACTGTAGCCCTCCTGGGCAACCCCCCATCTCCAGCAGCTGCCTACATTCAGTGATGCATCAGCCATTTGGCAGTTGGTAGAGCAACTGAGGGGACTAGATAGGCCCCGGCTAGAGACACCTCTATCCTGGAATCTGATTCCTGCCTAGTGATTGTCTCTTTGGAATTAATCTCTTTCTTCTTGTCTCTAAATTGGATAGAAATCAGAACTCAACTTCCCTCTTTTCCAAGTTTGGAAAAGGGCAGAGAGGCATCATTCTGAAGAAAGGGCTCATTTTCCTTAGAGTCAATTCAAGAGCAGAGGGGCCTTTATGGCAGGGTTTCTCAGCTGGGGACAGTTTTCCCCCTTCCCTACCCCAGCCTTCTCCGGGACACTGGGCAACATTTGAAGACATTTTTGTTGTCACAAATGGAGGAAGGAGCATTTCTGGCACCCAGTAGGCGAGGATATTCAAGAAAGCCCCCCTACAACACAGAATTGTCCAGGCTGATACGTCAGTACCGCTGAGGTGGAGAAACCTTGCTTTCCAGGAACAATCAATGGTCAGGATGAAGCCCCAGGAGGCTGACCATGACCATGTGTCCATTGCAGCGGGAAGACGCGATGCTTCACGGGTCATGGGTTTTCCTCTCTTCACAGGTCCTTCATTTTGAAAATGTCAAAGATGTGCCCTTTGGATTTCAGACAGTAACATCGGATGTCAACAAACTTAGTTCCTTTTACTCACTGAAATTAATCAAACGGCTGTACGTGGACAAATCTCTGAATCCTTCCACAGTAAGTGGTTCAAAGCAATTAGAGATTTGACTGTTTACCAGGAGTGGCATTTTCTCATGCTTGGACCAACAACCTTTTTTCCTGTGAAATTAATTCCCAAGATGCTCATTTATGATTCATTTAAAATAAATTAGTTCTAGTGGAGAGGTTAAGTAGAGCAGGAATCAACTGCAGTCACATAGTGTAGTTTAAAATATAGGGAAGCTGTGAGCTTCCTTTTCCTTCTCAAACACTTGCAGGATCCCACCCTTCCTCTTAGCTTCCTCCCTGAGAGAAATGGAAAATGGGGTTATTAACTCTCTAATAAATGTATCTCTAAAGATGCAAGACAGCTCAGGATTTAAACCTCTTTCTTCTTAAACAGCAGGGCATGTGGCCTGGGACCACATTTTAAGTTCTTTACCTCATTTGTTTATGCGCACAGTGTTCTCCTGATGTTTCTCAAAATCAAGAAGAAAAATAATAACTGTATGAATTAATGGTTTTCATCAGTCACAAATAGGTTCTGTTTATTGGACAAGGCTGGTCATGTGGGTATCTATATAAGGTAGCTGTGATAATTTCAGCTATTTCTTGAATCATATAAAGAACACTGTGATGTCCATAATTTGATCCCAGAGTATATCATAATATTTTTTAAAAATCTGTATTTGAAACACATAGCCAACATCCTCGACTATATAGATGTTCATTCTCTTCTTTAGTAATGCGGAGTTGATTCAATCTGTGTTTGGATGGCCAGAATTTCAAGCTTTCCAAATCTAAAAGGGAGATTTCCATTGCTTTCCATTGCTCTTGTTGGTTGTATATCATCTACCAATTTACTAGTAACAATACAAACAAGTGTGGTCTGAGGAGGGCCACCTGTGTCAGATCTACCCGGGTGTTTGTAAAAAGTGCAAATTGCTGTCCTCAGATTACTTGAATCAAGATCGCCAGGGACAGGATTTAGGGTTTTGCATTTTTAGCAAGCATTATAATTAGAAACACCGCTCTGTTCTGTAAAGCACTGTATTTCCATCTTTACTGTGTAGATGAATCACCTGGGAATCTTGTTGAAAATGCAGATTCTGATTCAGTAGGTCTGGGATGGGACTTGAGATTCTACATTTTTAACAAAGTCCCAGGTGATGCTGCGACTTTTGGTCCTTGGACCACACTTTGAGTAGCAAGCACAGAATCATTATTTCAGTGGTTAGATTTTTCTTCTCACACAGTTCTCTTTTTGGTACATTTCTTCTATTCTAAGACATACACATGTAAGTATATATATATACTTACGTTTTATATATATTTATATTTTAATGTTTCTGGAATTGGAATCTATATTATAATTGTTTTGTGCATTTAGCATAGTGTTTCTTTTTTCCCCCCAAACTGATACTAAATTGATGAGGCATTTAATAATTGATATTGTCTTGGAACTGAATATATGAACCATTAATACAAAGAAAATTCATTGATTTTTACATGAGGTTTCGATTTATATCGGGTTACAGATTCTGAAGGAGTATTCATGGTAATAGACATTCAGAAGTCCTTCTGTTAGAGTTGTGTAACAGTGACGTGCTCTGGCGACAGGCCTTACGGACATTGTGATTTTGTGAACTGGTGTTTTTCAGGAGTTCATCAGCTCTACGAAGAGACCCTATGCAAAGGAAATGGAGACCGTTGATTTCAAAGATAAATTGGAAGAAACAAAAAGTCAGATCAACAACTCAGTTAAGGAACTCACAGACGGCAAGTATCTTTTACGTATTCTGCTATAACTCCCTAAGTAAACAGACCGTGTCTTCTCAGGCATCTTTCTGCTAAGTTATAAAATTGAACGTCTGGGGATTTCCTTGGCTGTTTTCGGTAACAAGCTAAATTCTTGCCCGTCGAGCCATTCCAACCACTTGGATTTCTGGGCATTTCCTGCATCATGTCATCACTTGGCAGAGGTTCCGGGTGCTTCAGTTTTAGTCTGCCTCGCCGTGCGGGCTTGCTCTCCAGCGAGCTGCCACGTGCCCTCCTGGAGCCTTAGCTGTGTCCCCGACGAAGTATGGCTTTGGGCAAGTTCCAGGCTGGTTTTTCAATCTGGAAATGAAGGACTTGGACTATGACTTGATAATCCCTGAGGCCACTTTCAGCTCAAAAATTCTACAAATTTATGGTGGAAAAAAGGCAGACGGTCTTAGGCAATCAGGTACACATATAGAAAAAGCAAAACAAAACAAACCACGGTGGAAGCTTGTTCTGGGTCTCATGACTTGCCGTCCCAGTCGGTCCCCCGATAGCCCCGAGGTCTCTTCTGCAGCCTCTACCTGGCCCTGCACCTGGCTCAGTGCTTCCCCCAGACCTCTCCCTTCCCGGACTCCTCCCTCCACTAAAATTCTCTGTGAGTTGTCCTTCTTGCTAGAAAGGAATTGAGACCAAGATGAATTTGGGGTGCGAATCAGTGTTCACATGCTCCTTCCCGGGTACCTATTTGTATAGGGAGGGACCTCTTGTGACACAGCACCTGATTGTGAAAGAACAAACTGGGTTTTTCAGGTGCCACTGAAGTGGCCCAAGTCTAGGGAGAGATCTACTTCTGTAGCAAGAGAGGCAGACTCCCTGTGAGGAAGGCCAGCGTGGTCCTCTTGCTGCACTGAATCAGGAATGATGGAGCCCAGGCTCTTCACTGAGTGGGGGCCTGGAAAGAACACGGTCTGGGAGTCATGCAAGACCTAGATTCAAATCCAGACATTGCCACTTATTAACTGAGGTATTTGGATATGGAGCCTCAGTTTACCAAACTGTAAAGTGGGGCATATGTTATCTTTCACATAATTTAATTTTCACATGGTGGTTGTGAGGATCAAATTAGATAATGTATATGAACAAATAATATATGGTAGCCATAGAAACATATGTACACACACAAATGTATACATACATATATATTTGTTATTAAAATGAAGTTTCTTTGGCTTTATATGTAAAGAAAAATCTGGTCTAAGTAATACCAGGTTAGGCATAATTCTAAAAAGTATAAGCAAAAAGCAGCTCCTATTTAAATTTCTGTGCAACAGTTTTGTCTTTAAAATTGTTAGATAATTACAATTTCTCTCCAAGGTACATCCTCCATTTAAAAAGTCTGTGTAAATTTAAGGTTTTGACTGGAGAAGGTAGCTGAGTGAAAGGACTTGTGAATTTGAAATCAGAAGCTTGAGGTTCAAGTTGAAGCACAGCCTCTTACTAGCCCTCCCCCTCCTACTTCTTCAGGGACACTATTTCCTGTTCAACACATCATATGGTGCTGGTGGGCCCGGTCACATCATTTGTGGGTCCCAGTGCAAAATGAAAATGAAGGGCCCTTTATTAAAAACTGTGTTAAGAACTGTAAGATGGTAGCAGCAGAGCAGCAGAGCATGAAACCCCTGGAGGCTCTTCACACAGAGTCACAGCCCCATGAAGTGGCCTGAGCCCTGGGGTGAAGATGGAGAGAGATTAGGTAAATGAAAATCCTTTGCAGAAAAAGTCAATGCTCCTCAAAGGCGAGGACTTAATTTTGTTAAGGGATTATCACCTTCGAGCTGTTTCCACTGGGGATTTTTGGTCGAAGGTAGTTAGTTGTTCTGGAGCCTAAGGTGGTGACTACTGACCTTGATGCAGCCAAGGTGCGATTTGGGGAGGCGGGAAGAGGAGAGCGCTGTCCTGGCATCAGACATGCTTTGCAGCTGAGTGACCCAGGAAAGCCACTTGGCCTCTCTGAGCCTCAGTTTCCTCAACTGTAAAATGGGGATAATGATCTTTGCCCCAAAGCATCATCCTGAGAGAAGTGGGTAAGATACATAGCAGTACCAAACACAGACCAGGTGGGAAGTAAGTGCTCTCACATTTTTCTTCCTGAGCACAGGTTTTGGAGTCACAAAGACCCAGCTTTGAATCCTGAATCACCCTTGGGCAGGTGATTTAACACCAAGTCTTAGTTTGCTGATCTGTAAAGTGGAGAGAAATGCATATGAGATGTCTAGCCATTGTCTGGGACAGCATAGGCATTCAACAGTGGTAGCTTGTGTTTTTCTTTTTCCTCCTCTACCTTTCTTTTCCTTCCCTTTTCTCCCTCTTTCTCCTCCTTAGGTCTCTTTGATAAATCTGATTGTGGCAAGATGGAAGGAGAGAGAGGGGTCCTTCTGAAATGAGCTGGTTTGGCCTACCAGACCTTACATGGTGGGCTCAGTATTAAATGCCCAGGGAGTGGACATGCATGTGCACATGAGCTGTGGTTTGGAAGAATAACGCTGTACAATTTGTGGTTTCCTAAAATTGTTTGCAGGCCGCTTCGAGAACATTTTAGCTGACAACAGCGTAAATGACCAGACCAAAATCCTTGTGGTTAATGCTGCCTACTTTGTTGGAAAGTGGATGAAGAAATTTCCTGAATCAGAAACCAAAGAATGCCCTTTCAGAGTCAACAAGGTATGCGAGCTGCATGTAGCTTTCAGAGGATTCCAACTATAGATCCGTAAAATTATAGCAACCCAAGGGACTGTAGGAATTCACTCCGCTGAGGAAAATTAACATTAAAATTAACATTCACTACCTGTGAGCATAAGGTAGTGTGCTTTTCCTGAGATGAACAGCTGGGAGGCGAGTATAGGAAAAGAACCATAATCCAGAGCCTCTTACACTTTTTCCAGAATGTCCTCAGGGTCTGATCTAAGTGAGATCTTACAGAGCTTATAACACAGTGGGTGGAGCTAAATTACCAACAGGAAAATAGCTACATGTATTTGGGACCATTAGTAAGAAAGGAAAAGAAGAGAAGAGAAACAAACTGAATCCCAGCATCAGAGGCCTTTGGATCATCACGAGATGCTGACTGTGTGGGAATCCTGCTCTAGGTTAATAAGCTCCTCTGTGATCTCATTTCTCACCTGTTAATTGTGAAGTCAGTGGTTCTGATATTTTATTTATAAGATGCTTTGAGGCAGGTACTTGGTGGCTGTGAAGAAAAAAGTATAGCTTATTCATCCGCCACGCTGGGAGTCGTCATGGGGAAGAATTAGAAACCTGTATTGCAGGGAAGCCTTATAAATACTGTTGAGTGAATAATGAGGCCATATCCCACATCAAAAATAATTCATATAAATCGGTAAAGTGCCTCTTCTATAAATGAAACCAAAGAACCGAGACTAGAAAATTGACCCATTTCCTTAGAGGACCTTAGAGGAAACCCCAGGAATCTATATGATGGTTTGATTTGGTCTCATTTGATGAGATCTGAGTTGTGTTAAGAGCGCAGACTCAGAACTGTGCTTGAGCTGTGTAAATGGATATGTAGCCTTGCACTAGGATTTACTTTCAAGTGAGTTCCACCAGGCATGGTTTAAAGACCTTGTAATTACAGGCATCTATAAAGATGAAGTTGAAGTTTGCCTATATTTCCAGTCATCCTGTCTTATTTTTAATGTTTTATATATGCAAATACAGTATTATATTATGTACAGTTCCTATAATTATAAAGCACACAAATAGGTTTTCAAAAGAAGTCATAAACTCTTGACAGGACAGCCTCTAATGGCGTGGGTCCCCGTGGCTGCAGCTTCAAGCCATAATGATCTGAAATTATATCAAGAACAAATTGTATTTAAAAAAAAGAACAAATTGATGTATATGTGTGTATAGTTGTTTGTGTATATATACGTGTATAGATTTGGGGGTGTGTGTGCGCGTGTGGTGTGTGTGTGAAAAGCAAGCAGAGCAAATTTCTTCTCCTTTTACAGACGGACACCAAACCAGTGCAGATGATGAATACGGAGGCCACGTTCTGTATGGGCCACATTGACGGTATTAACTGTAAGGTCATAGAGCTTCCCTTTCAAAACAAGCACCTCAGCATGCTCATCCTGCTGCCCAAGGATGTGGAGGATGGGTCCGCGGGGCTGGAGCAGGTGAGGAGGGAGCGGGTGTTCAGCACGCGGGTGCCGCGGAGCCTTGGAGACGCGCGGGCGGGGCTCCGTGCGGCTGCGGGCGGGGGGTC